TTGTTTATTCTTATATAATTAATATATCATTTTCAAATAAACCATTTTGATATCAAATATAGTTTTAATTTAATATGGTTTATTATGGTTAAACTATTACTTTATCTTTCAAAAAAAAAAAACCGAATAGATTTCGTTAATATCCACTTTAATTGTAAGTGTGCTTTATTTCTGAATGCATGCATGTCGATACAAATTATGTTGAGGTTTTACTTTCTTCATTTATGTCTTTCTTAGAATTTATTTCAAATATTATTAAATTAATGAAGTAAAAAATGTGATGAGCAAATTTTATATTATGAATTTCTGCGTCAATTAAATACCCTAAATATTTTTTATTAAAATAAAAAGATGTATATTTTTAAAAAAATTATTGCACGATATAAATACAAATTTTAATAACGTTTTTGATGATAGAATCCGCATGTGCAGATTTTTTCTTTTTTTTATTAAAAAAATTTTAATTCTGGTTAATGGAAATCAATTCGCTTCACCAAATCCGTTAGGATGTTAGCATCGTCTCTCTTTGTGGTTTTTATATGTAACATTATACCTGATTTTAATTAAGGATAGAGAAGAAAACATAAATCATCTTTTAATGTCAAAATCTTGGCTGCGGCAATGTTAAAAATAAGATTCGATTGGTATTTTTTTAATTAATTTAAGTTCTTTTTAGTCCTTTATGTATTAAAACATATTTAAGGAAGAGATGGTTCAAGATTTTACCAACGATTACTGCACCACTCGAATTTAAAAATTGGTTTGGGTGGGTCACTATTTTATTGACCCATAATACGCATATAAACCTGTAGAATATAACTTAGGCCGGGCAAAATAAATTTTAGATTCTCGTGACATAAAATTTTAAAGTTGACACGATCACCCGGTTTTTATTTTTTATATTTATTTTTTATATATTATATACTACTACTAAAGCCACGTAAAAAAAAGTTTTAATATATAAAAAAAAATCATGAATTTTTGTAAAAATTGAGGCGGCTGGTCACGAGAATCTAATAAATTTTTTTACATGTAAGATTATATGCAGATTTAGATTTAGAGGGATTTTTAAGTACGCATTAATATATAAAATTATCCCGAATTAATTGGGTTAAATCTTTACACAATGGCCGGATAAAAAAAAAAGTAGGTTGAGTTCATTGATTTTTCTTTCACTTATTTATTGTAATAAACAATTTTTTATTTTATGTAATAAATTTATTTAACATTTATTTTGGAAACTTTATTCTCTAACATTACAAATTTTTTTTTAGGGTTTGAATGGCATTTAAAACGCGAGTTCCAGCGTTTCGTGACGGGCTGGTACTCATGCTCGTTTCAGAAACCTTTTTACTACTGTTTCATTTCAGTTTCTATTATATAGGTTCGGATGACATTTGAGACACAAATTCCAGCCAGATATGTTCAGGCAGGTTTAAACGTTCATTTTTGAAATGTTAAATTTAGTTTTATATTACTTTTAAGCATTTCAACTAACTTCCAATTAATTAGAAGTAAAAAAATAGATAATAATAATATTTGACAAGGCATTATTTTTTAGCTTTTTTTCCAAGTAATATTAAAATAATACACATTTAAATTTGAAAATTGCAATTTAAATCAAAAAAAAATAAAAATTTTAAAATTTAAAATTTGCTTTATATCCTATGAAAAAAATCCCATACAGTTTTTGTGATTCTTTTGTGCTAAAAAAAACACTACAATTTTTGTATTGTACAATATACCAAAACATGAAATAACCCTAGTAACTGTACATTCATATTTTTAGCACATTTTTCCTACGACATGTGAATTAGAAAAATCAATTGTACTAATCAATATAGTTTTTGTATGATTATTTCCTGGCTTAAATTTATTATTATAGATAGTATTTTTGTCTGTTCTGCAAGTTTATTTTTAAATTATTTGCAATTTTTGTAAAAAATTAATTAATTTAATTAACGCACTTTTAGTAATATTAAATTTTAAATATATCAATAAAATACTAAACTATACAAAATATGTATGTTTAATTTTTCAATATAATTTCAGCATATATTTCAAATTTCAAATATATTTTCTGTATAATTTCTCTATGTTAAATTTCTGTACAATTATTTTTGTATGAAAAATTGAAATAACTACACAAAAATTATATGATTTTAGTATATACCCATACAAAGTTAATACTAAACCTATACAACTTTTTTTTATAGAGATAACACAAAGTGATTAGTACTGTATATTTATAATACATTAATATATTAGAATTGTGAAAATTTCAATAAATATATTTATTGGAAAACCTATTTTGAGTTGATTTACAAAAAAAATAATTTAAAATACAAAAATAAGCTTATTTAGTAAATTTCCATCAAATATTACCAATCCAATATTTTAATATACATTTTTCATGACTCAATATAAGGGTTTTAACTTTGAATAATATTTGATATTATAACTAATTATAAGGTTGCTTCAATATATATCTTTATATTACAATATATTTAATATTATTTTTAGATCTTTATTAACTCAGTGGGATACCACCATGTGATATAATTATATCACATAGTGGTATCCCACTAGCCTTAGATTATAGTACCATCATATTATCTGAATATCACCATATAATCTGAATACCACTATATAATCTAAATATCACCATATAATCTGAATACCACTATATAATCTAAAAGATATATTCTAACTACCACTATATAATCTGAATAATATAATTTAATTATCATCATATAATCTATTTGTTTTCTTGTGTCAAATATCTATTTTTTATTCTAGCTATTCCTTTAAACTCTTTCTGATATTAATATCATTTACTACTATATAATCTAACTACCACCATGAAATTTAAATACCTCACTTTTCTTTTGTTTCTGAGTCTTTCGCATACCCATTTCTATATTGTGGTTGTTAGTTTTCTATAGCTATTTGAATACCTAGTTTTATATTGAGGGTGCTGGCTTTCTGCGCCTGATTGAGTACTAAATTTATATTGAGTTGCTTATCCTTTGTGCCTTTTTGGTTGCCTTTCTAGATGCTAAAATAGTGTAAAAAAGGAGGTGATGAGTAGCGCAGTAAATTCGTATTTAATTTTGGCCAATACTATGTCTTAATGATGGCTGATCTTTAAAGCATGTGATTTAGAAGTCTAGCTTAGTGTCATGATAGTGATCTACTAGTATCCTGAAACTACTGTGAAGCTATCTTGAAACTAGTGAGGAACTGGCAATAAACTAGTATGCTTCTATTAGTTTACCAGTTTTATATTAGCTTGAATGCAGAGTTATTGTGTCTATAATTCTGGTAAAAAAAAAAATATTGAATAGTGCTAGCTGAAATTATCTAAATTTTACTATTAAAGATACTGAGTCTTTTCATCTGGATGTATACCTGAACACATATAAGTCTTCTTCTGATATTTATATAATAAAATATGAAGAAGACTTATCTTCTGGATATATATCCGAACACATATAAGTCTTCTACTATTTTTATATAATATAATTCTGCAGAAGACTAATCTTCTAGATATATATCTGCTTGTTTTCCTTTTACGATTTGCTCATTAAGTTCAAATGAAGCCTTTTGCCATTTTTATATAATATAATTATACAGAAGGCTTCACTTCTAGATACATATCTATTCCTTTTATTTACAATTTGCTTATTAGATTACTATACATCTCTTTTTTTGAAGGACGAAAAAATGCGTCAAAGATATTTGAGAAATATTTGAATGATATTTGAGTTTGGATTAGTGGATCAGTTAGTTAGAAAATTGGAGGTATCAACTTTATATCTCTTTTTGGTATACCTCTATATTTCACGAAGGCTATATCATACCGAGTATATACCTAGAAAGTGTAGTCTTCTTCTAATTCTTTATATAAAATTTCTGAAGAAGACTATACAAAATACATATACTGAGTATATATCTAGAAAGTGTAGTCTTCTTCCAATACTTTATATAATATTTCTGAAGAAGACTACACTTTAATGCAATAATTCATTAGGCCTTCTTTTGTGTTTTACCACTAAGTTTGCTATTGCTTCTTTTTTTGATGAATAAAAAAATAATTAAACATTTCCGATAGATATAAAGTTATATAAATTCTTTTAAACTGACAACATGTATACCCCAATTATTTCTGACTAAACTGATCACACTGGATCTGACCCAACACGTCTGCGATGATGATGCTAAGCCTTTAGCTGGTAGCATATCATGTAATGATATTGTGGCAAAATTTGATAATGGGATGATCACTATATTTCAATAAAGCCTATCTGGCAAGCAACTCATACACTTTATGCCTACTAAAGTTAGTGATGATATTGAGGGGTATTCCTCCTATATCTTGTGTATCACCAATTCTTTGATTAATGGGCAAAAGGCGGTCATAAATATTACAGGCATCCGACCATTTTTCGATGTTGAAGTGCCTGAAAACTATTTCCCCTTTTTACTTAAGACCATATTAGTACACATTTTATCAGTTACACTCAAAAATACAACAAAATTTGGGTTCATGAATATTCGTGCTTTTCTACTTCAGGGCTATCATATAGAAAAAAAAGCATATATCTGTGTGAGGACGTGAAACTACTTTAATCAGTATAATGCCTTAAAAGCAGTTCATGAAGTTGGAATTCATACTGCTTCCAATAATCTAAACTGCCAATATTATTACCGCAAAGTAGCTTGTGAAAAATGATTATCTCTTTCAAGCTAGGCTGTATTAAGCAATTATTTATATGAATTTATCTCAAATGTTACTTACTTATTTCGACATCTGTGAATAATTATAATCCAATAAGTAAGGAGAAATATAATAATCCATTATTCTTCTCAGCACTTACGAGGTATCGAATCCTCATATTCACATGGGATATTGAGACATATAGTTCATAATAATCAGGCAAGATGCCTAACGTAAAATACGATAAAGACAAAGTATTTATGATTTGTATGACAGTGCATTAGAAAGATGATCCTGAACTGTTAAAACAAATCTGTCTTGTCGATGTTGAAACTACGCCAGAGCCAGTTTGGATCACAATTGTATGTGGATCCCAGACAGATTTACTAAAAGCATTCGTTTTATATTGAAAACTTCTAGCCTAGACATACATATAGGCTTTAACGATTCTCAATACGATTAGCAGTTTATTGTAGAGAAAGCTAATAAATTAGGGGTTCTTGAATGGATGTTTAATCATATATCATTCAAGTCATTGAGTCTGGAAAAAATTATAAAATGGGAATATCAATATAATATGATAAAAGTAAATGATAGAAAATTCTATTCGAAACATCTTAAAATTTCATGATACGTAGCTATTG